CCCTTTCATTGTGCTGCCCACCAAGGGCAAACGTCTCATTGTTTGGAGATCTTCTACTGATGCATTTCCCTGCTTGAGTTCTGTGCATTAAGATGCACCCTGGCCCTTTTGAATTGTTTATGAGAATTCTTCCATCGTGTCTTCAAAAGCCACCTTTGGCTCTGAATGAAACACAGCAATGAGATGGTATCTGCTGACCTGGGTGCTAGGGCCCTATAGCGCATTCCTGAGCACAGGAATTTGGGTTGGATTGCTCAGCTTGGTGCCTCTGGAGGTGGGGAAGAACAAAGTTACAGGAATATCTACTGTGAAATGCTACAGCTGGAGACTGGTAGTACCTTGTCCTCGTGCTGCACTTGCTTGGATCTCAAGGGTGAAGAGGTGTTAAAGTAAGGCAGAAACAGGCACTGGTGACCCTGGTCCCCTGAGCATCAGCTGTCCTGGATCTCCAGGGCTCTGCTGACCCACTAACCTGACCTTCTGCCCCAAAGCCCTTTGAGGTGACCTAATGCAGTCACCTGCAATTTAGGCTCAGAGTTGTTCTTATGGTGCTGCTGCTCTGCCCTCCACGCCAGGTAAGACGTCTCTATCGGCCATCGCGTGATGCTTCGCCTCTGAATCTTGTTGCTGTCTGGTCGCAGGTAGAGCCTAACCCTCACCCTTCTTCTCCTGTGAGCTCTAATGTCTTCTCTGCTGAAACAGTAGGAGTTTCATTAGCTCCTACAGCCGTCACAGTCCCCCAGCTAAAATGCAGCCACTGATATCATCTGACCCAGCATTAGAGTCCAGCTGCAGCCGTCTCTAATCCTTTGATTCGTGGTGGCTATCTCAACCCCTAAAGCCTCTCCTTCTCCCTTGGCTACCCTTCGCTCCTCACCCATTCCCTCCATGACTCTCGGGCAGTGATGGCCATGCCATAGCCTCCTTCCTAGCAAAGCCAGCTGATCCTCCACCAACTTACCTGGCACGCTGCAGGTAAGTGAGAGGCAGGATCTTGGTGCTGGCTCTGCCCCAGCTCCTTGTGTAGATGTCCTTGTGCTGGAGCTGGCTCCTCATCCTTGTCAAAGACAAGTGTTGTCAGGTAGGTGAGGTTGGTGGCCAGGAATGGGTGATTCAAAGGGGGCAGAGGTGCCTGGGCTTCATGTCTCACCCCCTGCTCGCAGATGGACTTTGAGGGTGGCTTCATGAATGCAAGCAAACACACAGCCTGGCTGCATCTTCCTGTGTGCCAGGAGCCTGTGGCCATGGTCTGTTCCACTTGGCATGTGGTACATCACATCTGCTGAGGCAGGAGCTGTGTGGGATTCAGTGGGATCCCTCTTCCCTGACTCAGTTCTCCTGCGGTTCCCTGTTCCCGGCTCCACTTTCTTTGGAGATGGGTGTTCTTCAAAGACTCGAGAAGTTGGCGTTTTTATTGTCTAATGGATTTCCTGGTTTTAATACAATTGAAAGGGTCTGAAATCCATGCTTTAGATTAACATATGCCAGCTAGATTAGGGCTAATCAGGGTGCAGGTCTGAGCAGATGCAGCGCAGGGCCAATCCTAGGCCTGATTACAGCATCTCAGTGCTTTAATCGTCTCTCTCCCAAGGGCGATCAGCTCTGCTTTAATGCACAGCAGACTTTGCAGCCCTCTCCTCCTTTGGGTTGTCACCACCCCTGGCAGGAAGGCTGCTACGTCAGATGCTGAGGCGATTTACTTTAATCCCATGCAGAAAGGGAGCTGCGTGTTGCTGTCTCTCACAGAGACTCCCCTGCTCTTCCATGCGCTCCAAGATGTGCCAAACCTTGGGTGACGTGGATCATGGAATCATAGAATGGGTTGGGTTGGAAAGGACCTTAAGATCATGCAGTTCCAGCCCCCTGCCATGGGCAGGGACACCTCACACTAGACCCTGAACTCACCCTTCCAAAGAGAACCCTCACCACCTTTTGGTAGCACCCGTCTCTGGCACAGCCGTACCCTGGCCGCTGTTCAATGTGCATGAAGAGCGTGGAGGGATCAGGCTTTGAAGGTTGCATGCTCTGTGGTCCAGGAGGGTCGTGGTGACTCTGCTTTTTGGGATGGATATGCGTAGTAGATGTACTGTCATTTGAGAGCTCCAGCAGTCTCCTTCAGGTTAGCAACCCAAGTAACTCAAGGGGCTTAGTTGGGTGGTTGGTCTGGAGCAGGGATTCTAGGTGCATCCCAGGCCAGATCCCGTGCCTGTGCCAGCATCTGCTTCAACTGGGATATGCTCTATTTCACTGAAGGGTCTGATACAGAAGATTTTCTTTAGAGCTCACACTCAGCCCTCCTAATTTCAGTGTTTTGTTACCTAGAACTTATCTATTAGAAAGCACCCTGGGAGCTTTGCGCCTTCTGACTCCACACCATTCACAGCAGTCAGTGTTGAACCGTCCCACCAGGAAAGCAGTTCCTCCACTGGAATTGCTGTGAACTGGACAACCATGGTTTGGGGTCCTCCTGGTGTGGGGCAGCCCTTTGGCTGGGTGCATCCTGACACTTCCCAGCCCTCAGAGTGCTTTGAGATCCCGAGAGGAGGGTCGCTGAAGGGCTCCAAAGCTCACTGTGCCCTGCTGGGGTCACCCCCCTGGTCAGCACGATTAACTCATAAGCTTTCCTGTCTGTACTGGAAGTGATCTGAGGACACTGAGCGTGCTGGGGTTATTAAACGAGTGCCCTTGGCAGGACAGAGTCTGCTCTCTGCCACAGAAACCTGAGTCAAAAGAGATTGGGCTGCTTTTTTGGGAATGCCGGGTCAGGAACCTGCTGTCTTAAACCATCTGAATGCTGTTTGAGGGCTGGGTACCCAGTGCTGCTGGCTGGAAGGATTCCTTGACCTCTAAAAGCATTTTTATTCCCCCAACAGAGGTGGGGATAGTTTAGGAAATGTCATTTATGGGGTAGGGTTTCACAGGCTCTACAGGGCAAGGTTAAGGTGCTGGTGGGAACAGGTAGATAATATTTGAGTAGAAACCATAGAATCCCAGAGTGGTTTGTGTTGGAAGGGACCTTAAAGCTCCTCCAGCTCCAACCCCTGCCCCGGGCAGGGACACCTTCCACTAGAGCAGGTTGCTCCAAGCCCCTGTGTCCAACCTGGCCTTGAACACTGCCAGGGATGGGGCAGCCACAGCTTCTCTGGGCACCCTGTGCCAGCGCCTCAGCACCCTCACAGGGAAGAGCTTGTGCCCAAGAGCTTATCTCAATCTCCCCTCGGGCAGGTTCAAGCCATTCCCCTTGTCCTGTCCCTCCATCCCTTGTCCAAAGCCCCTCTCCAGGTTTCCTGTCAGCTTATCAGCCTTCATGGCCCTCCTGTCCTTCACGGAAAGATGAAGTGTGTCCTCCCAGGCTGCAGGATCTGCTGTTCCCCATCCCCTGCCTGGCTGCACCGAGCTGTACCAATGCTCTTGGCTATTTTTTCCACCTCTTTTCATCATTCACATCACAATATCCTCAGGGGCCTCATTGTTTGTTGTCACCTTGGTTGGTGTTCCCAAGCTCCCTGTGTTTGTCACAGTGGTGCTCTCCTCCATGGCCAAAACCATGCCAGAAGCTTTGCCAGCTCCTGCTTCAGCTCGGGGACATCTCATCCCTTTCTGTAGCTCATCCACCCTTGGGAAAAAGATGGTTCCTGCCTTATTGGACCCATCCATGATTGTGGAAGGGCTGAGAAGTTTGGTTTGCTTTCTGTTATCCCTGTTATATGTCATATATATACGTGTGTGAGTGCTTATAGCTGGTGTTTGGAGCCAGTGTGGCTCGGTTGGGGCCCACTGGTCCCAACACGGCCCTTCACCCATCCCGGTGTGAAGGCAGAAGGATCTGGCTGGGATGGAGAAGGAGCTGGAGGAAGTAAATGGTGTTTGAGGGAGGCCATGGCTGTACCAGGACTCATGGGCAGGACGAGTGGTCTGTGGTGTGCACAGTGGTGGGATCCTTCTCATGTGCCATGAAAGTAGGAAGGTGTTTGGAGTAGAGTGTTTCAGGGCATGGAAGAGTCATGGGGGAGAAGCCAAATTTACCCCTTCCTCAGCCCCAGGGTTCCCAATTCTGGGCAAATCAAGTGGAAAACATGTTTCAGAAGCATGTTCTTCCTCTGTGGGTCACCACTGCTGGGCTGTGTGCGGGCACACGCGTGGCTGTGGGAGGAACACGTGGGAGCAATCCCTGCATCCAGCAGAGCAGGGCCTGGCAGTGCTGGCTGTTTGGGTACCTGCTCCAGCATCCCAGCATCTGCTTTGGGTTTCTCCTCCAAAAATGTCCTATTTCTTTCCTCCTTAACCTTGTTCTGTCCGTGCAGCAGGACAGCCCCACGGTGCAGGGGGTCACCATGCTGCCACCCAGCCCTGCCCCATCCTATCCCTGCTCCCATCCCACCTGGCACCATGGTGGGTGAGTCCAGCACAGCAAGGCAGGGACACCTTCCACTAGAGCAGGTTGCTCCAAGCCCCTGTGTCCAACCTGGCCTTGAACACTGCCAGGGATGGGGCAGCCACAGCTTCTCTGGGCACCCTGTGCCAGCGCCTCAGCACCCTCACAGGGAAGAGCTTCTGCCCAAGAGCTCATCTCAATCTCCCCTCTGGCAGGTTCAAGCCATTCCCCTTGGCCTGTCCCTCCATCCCTTGTCCAAAGCCCCTCTCCAGGTTTCCTGGAGCCCCTTTAGGCACTGGAGCTGCTCTAAGGTGTCCCCTTGAGGAGCCTTCTCTTCTCCAGCTGCCCCAGCCCAGCTCTCTCAGCCTGGCTCCAGAGCAGAGCTGCTCCAGCCCTCGCAGCAGCTCCGGGGCCTCCTCTGGCCTCGCTCCAGCAGCTCCACATCCCTCTTGTGCTGTTCCCCAGAGCTGGACACAGGCCTCCAACAATCCAAAGGATCATCTCTGGAGCAGCACGAATGCAGCCTCCAAACCCCTTGGGACCTCAGCGCGTGGCCCCACCAGCCCCATCCTGCCCTTGCTCTGTTCCTTCCCTCCCAACCCCTTTCTTTCTCTTGTCTCCTCAGGTCTCGTCCAGATCCCCGTCAGCATGTACCAGACGGTGGTGACCAGCCTGGCCCAAGGCAATGGCCCCGTTCAGGTGGCGATGGCCCCCGTTACCACGAGGATAGGGGACAGTGCTGTCACCGTGGACGGGCAGGCAGTGGAAGTGGTCACCTTGGAACAGTGACGTTCCCGGAGCCAGGATCGTGGTGATTTTCCTCGTCTCTTAATGCGACTAAGTTTTTTACGCCTCTCCAGAGATGCAATCAGGTGGCATCGAGTCTCCAGCTTTGGAAGCAAAGGGTTTGAGGTTCTGTTAACCTTTTTTTTTCTTTTTTTAAAGGAAAAAAGGAAAAAAAAAAAAAAAAGGAAAAATCCCCCCGGGAAAACAGGAATAATCTTAGCAGAGGATGTAAGTGCAGTGTGTAAAGTGCATTTTCACAGCGCCGCTCTGCTCTCGTAGGAGCGAGGCGCCAAATTGTGACGGGACTTTCATTCTGAGGAGATCTAAAACAAAGGAAACAGCCCCCTTATTCCCTAATTCCCCACTATGGGATGGAGCAGGATGAGGCGTGGAGGGGAACATGGATACCCTCAGCCGAAGCTGCTCCCGGGCACAGCCCTCTGCACTTGGCAAATTAGGTTTCAAAAGATTTTAACGTGGACTTTTATATGAAAGAAAAATGAAATAACCACCAAAAAAAAAGAAAGAAAGAAAAGGAAAATATTTTGGGAAAAGGCTCCTCTCTTGCGATAAAATAAAGGAATGCATGTGTGACTGCAGGGGGGTGGCAGCCTCGGGAAGGGATGATGCTCTTCCAGGAGCCAGCGGAATGCCGCCCTCCCCACGCCATGCTCCGCTCGGCTCCCCTTGGTGCACACTGGAGACCTTGTTCTTATTCTCTGCTCTCAGAACGTACCTGCC